ATAGTTAGGTATGTTTGTATAACCTTGGATCAGCGCTTAGAAGGGACAACTCGTTGTACTTGTATCTCCCCTCCCCTCTTCCTAGTTCAACTTTTCACGCTATCCTAACACATACAATATTATTTCCAGTACAAACTGCAGCCACCGCACATGGCTACAACACGTGCGTATCACTACACCTGGCTACGTGTATAATGCATCTTCCTAAATCAGTCACCCTGATACTATAAGCCACTAGCTAGCTACTATCAGAAAAATGTCAACTTATATATTACCGTAATCCTCCGTATATACTGTAACACCCATATAAAAGTTCGTGGATATAAAAATTTGTTCAAAAAATGAGTGGGTGTTAACAGTAGCCCGGAAAAATATAACGCCCATGTGTTATCTAAAATGCAAAATGAATTTGAGTGTTCCAGGCTTTATTTGCTCGTAAGGGTGCGGAGCGGCTGCTAAAGAGGCAAGGAATTTTGAGTTTCCTGTCTCGCCCACAATATCGTAACCCCCTGGCCCAATAGTTTCAATTCCCCCTTCCCCAACTATTTCGAATCCCCCTTTCCCCCCACAATTTCGATTCCCCCTTCCCCCACAATTCGACTCCTCCTTCCCCGCAATATGATTCCCAACAAATCGATTCCCCATTTCGATTTGGGCGGTCAAGATCCTCTCGACCTTGCTAGGGATTTGATTCCGCGCAACGACTTTGTTGATGTTTCTGCCCGGTTTTCCGGTGCTAATGGTTGTTGGCGCGCGATTTCATCCAGTTCGCTTTTTGCAGCTGAGCGGACCTTGTAATACAAGAACAAATACTATTTTTAAATGAATAAAACGAGGAGGGTGCTGTATAAAATTCAATGTTAGAAAAACGGGTGCTCTAAAAAATGCACCGTATCATAAGCTCCCCCCCGTATTAACCACCCATGGAGTGACTATTTCGGCGGGTGTTATTTACAAGGGATTACGGTACTTATATATTGTGTATGCTTGGCAGGTGTTCTACAAATGACTGGATCCTACTGTAGAGGGTACAACCCACTTCTTGTACCTCTCTCTCTCTCTCTCTCTCTCTCCTAGTCAAATCTCTTTTCTCCTCTACCTAGCCTTAACCCTTCCTTAGCTACCGTAAATGCCCGGATAGAAGACCTGGGCGAATAGAAGACCCTAGGGTCTATTATCCGAGTGTTTTCTTATAAACGGGTACTCTGATTATAAGACATGGATTTTGTACATGTATGACATAAGACCCTCCTGTTAAACTAACTAGATAAGGAGATGAGCCATGGAAATGGCGAGAGGGTTTAGGTGCTAGGAAATAGTTACGAGAGGAAAAAGGGGTGGACTAGAAGAGAACGAGATACAAGAAGGGGAGGGGGTTGTCCCCTCTACAGTAGGATTCAGGATTGTAGCACATCTACCAAGCCTAAACAAATATATATATAAATATATAATTTGAAACACCCCCTAGGCTTGGTAGTCGAAAGCACACCACGCACAGAGCACACTAAGCCACAGACCCCCTAAGCCTAGCACCCCCATACTCAGCAGGAGCAATGGATTCTCTAGCATGGTCAACCCCTCGGCGTGCGAGGCGGCGACGCCGGCAGCGAGGGCAGCGGCTGCAACGGCGGCGACAGCGACGGTGGCGAGGCCAGTGGCACCAGCTGCGGCGGCGGCGATTTCGACGACAGCGGCGGCGGCGGTGGAGCTCGCAGCACTTGGCGGCGTGGCCTGACTCCGCGACGGTGGGCAGGCCCGCGCGAGTCAGCCGTCAGCTGCGGCGAGGAAGACGAGACGACATAGCCGTGGCGGCGGCACAGAAAGGACAGGAGGGAGGAGCGAACGTTGCGGAAGCGTGATGAGCAGGCCCTAGCAAAAGGAACTGCTCTGAAACCATGTTACACTAACTAGATAAGGAGAGGAGCCATGGAAATGGCGAGAGGGTATGGTGCTAGGAGAAAGTTACAAGAGGAAAAAGGGGTGGACTAGAAGAGAACGTGATACAAGAAGGGTGGGGGTTGTCCCCTCTACAGTAGGATTCATGATTAGAGCACTATCAACTTATACATATATTGTGATGTAGAAGTTATAGGCTAGATAGGGTATGTTCTTAGTGGGTACAACCCAAATGCTATATCTCCCCTGTTCTCCCTTCTTCTATTCATTCTTTCTAGTCTTAACATGCAACAAAGATGGGGAGCAGCCTCTAACAGGAAAGCAAGCTCGTACTGCCGGTCCTCCAAGACGTCACTACCGAGGGCAGGAGCACTGCCGGGGGTGCTCCTTCCCTCGGCAGTGACGTCTTGGAGGACCGGCACTACGAGCTTGCTTTCCTGTCAGAGGCTGCTCCCCATCTCTGTTCCATGCTGCTACTCCCTAAGGGTGACCCCGGCGCCTTTGACATCCCGACCCCTCGCACCTACGCAAGGGGCCACCTCAAGACCCTGGGCCTCTCAGTGGATAGCTGCCATGGAGTAGGAGATGGCATCTTGGAGGGCTACCGGCACCTACGTCGACGCAGTTCCCCCACCTGGGGTGAACGTAGTCGATGGCCGGTGGCTCTTCAAGGTGAAGCACCCTCCTAGAGAGCCGCCTGTGTTCAAGGCGTGCTACGTGGCTAGAGGCTTCAGTCAGCGAGAGGGGGTGGACTTCTTTCAGACCTTCGCCCCGACCCCGAAGATGACTACTCTTCGGGCGATGCTACATGAAGCAGCACAGCGTGACTACGAGCTTCACTCCCTCGACTTCTCCGCTGCTTTCCTTCAGGGCAGCCTACACGAGCAGGTCTACCTGCGCCGCCCTCAGGGCTTCAACGGTACTTTCCCTTCAGGGCTCCAGTGGCTCCTCCGGCGCCCAGTCTACGGCTTGCGACAGGTGCCCCGTGAGTGGCACGACATGCTGCGTGCCACGCTAGCTGACCTGCAGTTCTTTCCGTCCTCTGCCGACCCTTCGCTCCTCGTTCATGCTGGCCAGACTCCGTTCTACATCGTGGTCTACGTAGACGACCTGGTCTTTTCTACAGCAGACAGAGACGCGATGGCCTCCGTGAAGGCTGAGCTGCTGAGGTGACACACCTGCACTGACTTGGGAGAGCTGCGCCGCTACCTTGGCCTGCAGATCTCCAGGGACAGAGCAGCGTGCACCATCACTCTTACACAGTCACACTTGGTGCGCCAGGTCCTTCAGAGGTTCGGTCTTCAGTTCTCCTCCGCACAGCCCACACCTCTGCTGGTAGACCACAGGCTCTCGGCTCCAGTTCTCGAGGAGTCAGCAGAGCCCAGTGGTCCTTACGCAGAGATGGTGGGTTGCCTCATGTACCTGATGACTTGCACTCGCCCAGATCTCGCATACCCTCTCATCATCCTGGCCCGCTTCGTGGCCACAGGCAGACACCGACCACTGCACTGGTCGGCTGCTAAGAGGGTTTTGCGTTATCTTGCAAGTACATCGGGCATGGGGTTGGCGCTAGGAGGACCAAGGCCAGTGGTCCTTACTGGGCACACAGACGCTTCTTGGGCAGACGAGACTGAGACCCTTCGATCCTCCCAGGGCTACTACTTCAGCCTTAGTTCTGGTGCCATCTCGTGGAGGTCCACTCGCTCCTCGTCTGTTGCTCAGTCTGGCTGCGAGGCTAAGATCTACGCCGGTGCCATGGCGGCACAGGAGCTCTGCTGGCTAACCTTCTTGCTTGCCGACTTAGGTGAGCGGCCTAGCTCTGCCCCGGTTGTGTACACTGGAAACAGGGCCATGATCCTCCTGTGTCAGGAGCCTCGACTTGAGGGCAGAACGAAGCACATCCAGCTGCGGTACTTCCTCCTGCGCGAGCTTTAGCAGCGTCGCCAGGCCCGCGTAGTACACTTGGCCTCGGGTGCCAACATAGCTGATATCTTTACTAAGGCGCTTCCGCCTAGAGATCATCAGCGGCACTGCTTGCTGTTAGGTCTAGTCCATGTTGACTCTCACTTGCGAGGCCCTTGATTGTGTACTCCTTTATATTTATACCTTTTAGACTGGCCTTGTGGCTTTTCCTCCAGTAGTTGGACTAGTAGTGCCGCCCTGGTTTGCTCTGTCTTGCTTGTACTCTTACTGACTGGTCTTCGGGCCCCTGCCTCAATGGTTGGACTAGTGGTGCCACCCTGAGCTGCGTGTTTCTTGCTCAGCACTACCCCTTATCTAGCCTAGGGGGTGTGTCAACTTATACATATATTATGATATCTCCCCTGTTCTCCCTTCTTCTATTCATTCTTTCTAGTCTTAACAAGCACATCTACCAAGCCTAAACATACATATATATAAATATATAATTTGACACCTCCCTGGGTCATGTATTCAGAATTTGCTGCCGCAATGCTACCGCCTCTGGCCAAGAATGGTCCAAAATTCGCTGGCATAAATTGCTTAGGTAGTAATTTTCACGCAAGCGCACCATGTCGTAATGATTGCGCTCGAACTGCAACATTCCTGTTGGCCCACAACTTGATATGGACGTGACGTGAGGCAGTTTTAGGACATTATACATGCATTTTTTCGTAAACTTAAATGAGTTCCGTAGAAGAATTAGAGCGTGTTCCTACGAGCCTCTTCCCAGGCAACCTCTTCCCAGACTCGCGCGACCTTGAGAGCGTGTTCTCATCATCACTTTTCGGAACACTCCCGTTTCATATTTGCTTTCCACCGCTCTCAACCGCATAAAACCAGCTGGCGTCGAAAATTTACTGTGCAGATTCGTGCTTGTCTGAAAAGAGGTTTTAAACACGCCCCTGAATCTCGGGAAGGCGATTCTCACTTCGCAGAATCGCACTGAAACATTTCGCGTCAGAATTTGCGACACTGTAGCACGCGAGTCTAGGAAGAGGTTGCTAGGGAAGAGGCTGGTAGGAACACGCTCTTATATGACCCTGTATATTCCTTCCGTTTTTAAGACAAACATCCAAATTCTTAGGGGGTATTGGACAAGACCCATGGGTTTTCTATCGGGGCGAATACGGTACTTCAACAAATACCGGATGAGATGGTAAGAGGTACATCATTGCCCTGAGCTGAGATGAGATGGCTCACACCAGCCGATTCTCACTCCCATGCCCCACCCACATGTCAGTAAACCCCAGCCAAGGGGTGCAAGACCACGAGGCATGGTCAGTTGTCCCCTCCTGCATGCTACCAGTTGCCAATCCCACCCCACTTGTATAACCCCACAGGTTGACGGTCCTTGCCTGCGGGTTGCATTGCATCAGGCCTGTTTCTTGATGACCATGGATCACATCATGCCTGTATTTCTTGAATCTTGATGACCATGGGCCCCATCATGCCTATCTCGTGACAATCAAAGGTCGCATCATATCGTTGTCTTCATGGTCCAGGATGTGGCAATGCCACACATAGCCGGGGCCAGTGGTCGGGTTAAACTCCCAAGGTTGCAGGTCCTGAAACCCATCAGCAGGGGGACAGGAAAACAGGGGAGGGGGAGAGGGCTGGTTGTTCCAACCCGGACCCATGGTGGGGTTGACCCCATATGCCGGCAGGTCCTGAGACCCATCCGAGACAGGGGGGATGTGGGGGGCAAGGGGTGGGAGGGAGGGGGGAGAAAAAGAACGAAAGAAGCACATGGTGCTCAAGGTTACCAGAGTGTGGGGAGGTGCTTACCAACAGGCGAAAGTCCAAGCGACACTGTTTTCCTGTTTGTGGTTAGCCTGTTTTCTACAGGCGGTTAGCAGAATGTGAGGAGGGGCTTGACACTGTTGGAATTCAGTTCACGGAACTACCAAGGGGGGCGATCCAGAATCTTACTGCACACTCTAAACCCCGAAATCCCTGTTCTCCACACAAACAACCACTATCGTAAACATCTCCCAGAATAGCTGGCGCTTGATGTGGCGTATAGCTTGGGAACCTCGCCAGGATAGGCCAGAGTGGTGTCCTTCCAGCCCCTCTCGTAGTGCCCAACAAGCTTCCTTTCACCCGAGTAACAGCTCGCCTTGCTTCTGACCCCAGCATACCTGGCGCTTGAATGTGGCGTATAGCTTGAGAACCTCGCCAGGGTACGCCAGCGTGGTGTCCTTCCAGCCCCTCTCGTAGTGCCCAACCAGCTTCCTTTCACCCGAGTAACAGCTCGGCTTGGAGTCGTCTGTGATCGAGCACCGGCCGGCCCGGTACGCATCTGCATCGAAGGGGCGACGCCAGGCGGGGCGGTGTTGGACGAGATGCAGATGCATGGGATGCGCGTCGGCTGTCAAATTGATGATATACCACGCCTCAGTATCACCCTGAAAAAAGGGGGGGGTGAGGGGAGGAGGGGGGGGGGAGAGGAAAACAAAAAAGGGGAGTTGCATTTGGGAATGATGCATGCACCAGGAAGGGGCAGGAGCCATTCATGTCCTAATCATGTGTTGATGTGCTTACATATTATGCACAGGACATAGCGAGCTGCATTTTTAGTCTCCATCATCCAAAAGCTGACAAACAATATTTATGCTCAATAAATCATAGTCGCCAGTGTACCTGCTTGGGAATCTCGGTAACGGGATCCATAAACGACTTCTCATCGATTGTAACGCGGATGGGCAGGTTCGTGGCGCGATCCATCACCTCCATGAGCGTGTGGTAGCGCTCCTTGTTCACCGCGGGAACCTTGGGCATCCACTGCAGAACGAAAAACACCAGGGAGGGAGGTGGCGAATGTAACGGCGAAAAAGGGTAACGGGGGAGAGGCGATCTGTCACCTCCATAAATGCGTGCTCACCGCGGGAGCGTGTTACGCGAAACAGGCGAAAAGTCGCGAGGCAGCAAAATCAAGCGTAAAACAGGGTAAAAGCGAAGGGGGACAAGCGAAGAGCCCCGGTCCGAAGATACCAAGGGCTTGGGGAGGGCGTGCGGGAGGGTGTGCACCTGCTGATACGGGCTTACACTAATTTTCTTTGGAATACGCGGAGACAGTATGCGCTTCTTTTTCATAATGTTGATGCGCATCACCACGCCGTCTGCGCCGTCACTGGAGCACCACTGGTGCCCGTCTGGCAGACACGCATTTCCAGGGTACCTAAAAGCATGCACTTACGCTGATCTTCTTGGGGATGGGCGAGGGAATGCGCTTCTTCTTGAGAATGTTGATGCGCATCACCACGCCTGTCTGCGGCGTCACTGGGGCACTAGACACGAATTCCCAGTCGACCTAGACGCACGCACTTACGCTGATCTTCTTGGGGATGGGGGGGGGGAGGAATGCGCTTCTTCTTGAGAATGTCGACGCGCATCACCATGCTAGTCGCAACCATCACAAGCTCATCAGACAATAAGAGAGCACCAGGCGTCGTCACAAGCTTACACTGATCTTCCTGGGGATGGGCGGAGACGGAATGCGTTTCTTCTTGAGGATGTTGATGCGCATCACCACGCCCGTCTGCGCCGTCACGGGCTCCCCCGCGGGGTAGGGCGCGCGCGCGTCGTTCGTTACAATCACATCCTTGCAGCCCGACGGGAGCTCGGAAAAGTCGACGAGGAGATCGACACGCTCGCCGGGTGCGAGAAGCACCTCAGTGCGGCGCACGGGGCGGACCAGATAGCCGCCATCAGTGCCGATCTGCAGTGCGTGGGGAAGGAAGTGAAGGAGGAAGTGGGGGCGGAAGTGGGGGCGGAAGTGGGGGCGGAGGGGGGGGCGGAAGTGGGGGGAAAGGAACTTGTGAGTGCGCTGGGAGGTCAATGCTCTCGCCCGGCGCGAGAAGCACTTCCGTGCGGTGCACAGGGCGGACCAGGTACCCGCTGTCAGAGCTGATCTGATGGGAAGGAAGGGGGAGGGTGTGGGGCAGGGGGCGGGGGCGGGGACGGGGGCGGGGGCGGGGGCGGGCGGGGGGGGGAGATGGGGGGACGAAATGATGCAGGCGGAGATGAGCAGAAAGTCGCTAGTGAAGGTGTTTGAGGCTCATCACAGTTAGTCGCTAGACGAGAAGTGAACGAAGCTGGCCTAGGGGGGTCGTTACAGAGGACCCACGTAGGGGGAGGAGCGATAAGTGCGGGGTGCAGGGAGTACTGCGCACCTGGATGACAGAGATGGCTGCGCCCTGGATGGGCGGAACAGAGGAAGAAGAGGGAGGGGAGGGGGGGGGGAGGAGACGAGGGGAGTGGGAGCGCGGGAAGCAATGCTGGCGGGGATATTTCCACGCACCTGGATGACAGAGATGGCTTCGCCCGTGATGGGCGGAACGAAGTTGGGGTAGTCGCCGCGCACGGCGCACACCCACTTGAGGTTGAACACGCGCGCGTTGGCGGCGTTGAGCAGGCGCATGCGGTACATCGCAGGGCGCACGCGCATGTACGGCCAAACCTGAACAAGGGGGGCGGGGGGGAGGGGCGGGGAAGCAGGGGGATGGGGCGGGGAGGGTGGGAGGTGGTGGAAGGGAGGGGAAAAGCGCGGAGGATGGAAGGTGTCATTGCTTAACGTTACCAGGGGACTCACTGTAGCGAATCCTTCCGCGAAAGGTCTTGCTAGTGGTACCTTATTCAGTCGCCCAAACGTGGGCATGATAACTGAAATGTGGGTCGACGGCAACTTGAAATGCAGCATCGCTCACCTTCCCGTTGACAACCACGACGACGACGACGACGACGACGACGACGATGATGATGATGATGATGATGATGATGATGATGATGATGATGATGATGATGATGATGATGATGATGATGATGAGGATGATGATGATGATCATGATGATGATGATGTCGCCCAAAATACTCTGCGATAACATCCAAAAAGTGGCAGCACTCTACCCCCACTCCCACTTGCTCACCCTTCCCACTGATGACATGGATACTCGGCGATAACATCCAAAAGCAGCACTCTACCCCCGCTCTCTTACCTTTTTGTTGACGACTATGGTGTCGCCCAGGCACCGCGGGAAAAGCAGCGCTTGCTCACCTTGCCGTTGACGATAATGGTGTCGCCCAGGTACTCGGGCGACTAGTTGGGATGCACGCGCAGCACAATCCGCATTTTAGGCGCCTCAAAAGCAGCACTCGCTTACCTTGCCGTTGACGACGATGGTGTCGCCAAGGTACTCGGGCGACCAGTTCGGATGAACGCGAGGCACAATGCCCACATTCGGGTAGTTGATCGACCCGTTCGCGAAGAATTTGCGATCCGCGATTGCGAGCGCCACCGCGCGGTTACCACTTGGCAGCCACCCGAGCTTGCGCTCGTACCCCTTCGGATCCGTGATCACGTAAAGCGCGCCGATTCCCGCGACGGTGTTGAGGCGCGTCCATCCGAGCGTGTGATCGTGGTACCAGATCGCGGCGGGCATTTGTTTATTGTCGTAGTGGTACAGGCGGGATTTGAACGTGGGACCTGTCTCGCCGAACTGCGTGAACCACGCCTGTGGGTGCCCGTCGCTCTCGCTCTCCTGCATGCCGCCGTGGCGATGCGGCACTGAAAAGCGCGCGGGGAAAACAGATTGAGGCATTAGATACGGGAAACTCGAGCGGAGGTGAACGTGGGGCATGTGTTGCTAGCGGGTGCCAGTCGCTCTCGCTCGCCTGCATGCCGCCGTGGAGGTGCAGCACTGGAAAGATCGGGGGGAAACAGAAAGAGGAGATTGGTACGGGAAACCCGAGCGGAGGTCAACGCGGGCCTGTCTCGGAACCACGCCTGCGGGTGCCTGTCATTGCGATGCGGCACTTAAAAGCGCGCGGGAAAAACAGATTGAGGGGATTACATACGGGAAACTCGAGCAGAGGTGAATGTGGGGGCTGTTGCGCTTGTGGGTGCCCGTCACTGTCACGGCTTAGGAAACGGGGAACTCGAGACGCAGAATCATGACAGCTCGGTAAGGGAGCGAGAAGATTCTCTGCTGAAGTATGTGATGAGGTGAAGGTAGTGCACGCAGGGATTGCGGCGGCAGGGCGCAAAGGGGGAGGCGGAGCTTGGACTTACTGACGGGAATGCCGCCGAGCTTAGGCTTGGGAATGCCGGGCATGAGAGTGTCACGAAGGGAGGCGGTGCTTGAACTTACCGACGAGAACATTTTGACTCACCAACGGGAATGCCGCCGACTTACCGATGGGAATGCCGCCGAGCTTCGGCTTGGTGATGCCGGGCATGAGAGTGTAGTCCACAGTGAACATGTGTTGCCGGTCCATCAGGTGGTTCTCGTAATACACCTGCGACGCGACGCGACACGATGGAAGGGAAGCATACGAAAATAATTGATTTCGGTGAACCGCCCGGCGGTCAGACGCGACAAGTTACCAGCGACGAAAAGCATGCGACGCGGGCGCGATAGACCGGAAAGGATGCGCACGACTCGACCAAAGAACCAACGCGGCGTACTACTGGTAGTACCTGCGTTTTCACGCCGCGCTGCGCGACGATGACCGGGCCGGGATAGTGCGCGGACTTCTCGTCCTTCCCGTACGCGTACTGCTTCGTCGCGGGCAGATCGCGATGGAATTTCTGGCGGAAAAGAAGGCATCAGGGATGAACAAAGGCGAACGGAATGTAACGCCGCGGAAACTTTCTCAAAAGTCACGTTTTCTCGAAAAATCATGGAATAGCCGTGGCCCTCTCTGGGAGCGGGGGGCTGGTGCAAAGTCAGCGCAGCGCATTCATTTGCGAAATGCTTTCCTTCCTCTCCGAGAGTCGTTGCGATTATTGCTTTCTTCCAAGCACTGCTTGGCACGTTACCGCAGGATTGGACACGAGGTACGAAATGCGGGGCTCACGCTGCGTCCCTGCTCCACGTAGACCCCACAACGAAAGGTACGGTACGATCATCGCGTCGCGACGATGCAGCAAAAGATGTTCGTCGCTAAAAACAAATGCTGAAATGTTCAACATCATTCCAGAGCCGCGCCGAGCTCACCTGGTAAATCTGATACACGCCGATCTTCACCATCTTGCCCGTCGCGCCGTCAATCACGGCGAGCGGGTTCGATGCGAGGTCGTCGACAAACTTGCAGAGCGGTTTGCGCGGAAAGCGATTCTTGCAGCGCGGGCCGGCGGAGGTTGCGGCGGGGGTTGCGGCGGAAGCAAGAAGCGCCGCGCTGCAGAGCAGAGCCACGACGAGCCACGCCCGCCACATGGCTGAGGACTCCTCGGTATAGCTACTCGGAGGAGCTAAGATAACTGATAAGGGATGGCGATTATTGATAATGCGACATGAACGAGAGAAGCACGACAGGGCTGGCCTGGTCCGTCAGGGCGTGGTGCTGTACATTTTGTTCAAAGGAGCCCTTATGTTCAAACTTTGATATGGGTTAGACACGGTTTTCTGTGTTTTAGTGAGATACAATATGGTGCAGTATGGTTGAGGTTCGACATTGAGCAAATGTTCCAAGCCCGGGCTCTGTTAGTTGCTGACGCGGCGGGGTGGGGCATTTTATTTATGGGGCTCCTGAGGCTGGTTTGGGTTTGGGCGCCAGCCAACGCGCAGGGCACCCTCCTGTTCTTGCCCCTAACTCCTGGCATACACACGCGCGCGCACATGCGAACAAATAACCTCTTCTTCCTTCCCCCACACCCTAGCACACGCGCGCACAAGCACACACACGCACGCAAGCCCTACCCCCGCCCACCTCTTCCCACTGGGGCACTCGGGCAACCCCTCTCCCCACCCATTTCTGTCTGCCACTTTCCCCGACTTCCTTTCCCCGCGTCAGGGCTGCCGAAGCAGAACGCAACGCTCAGCCCAGACGTTTTGGGGGAAAAGCTTGGGTGTGGTGGTACGGAAACCCAACACACTCCAGCCAGAATGTGCTGGATGGTTCCAATTTCCAAACCACATCAGTGAGGTTGGGACTGGGTGGCGTGCGTCCAGACAAAGCCATGTAAGCCAGCTCCAAGCAAGCCGCCGCCGCCGCGACTCGAGCCTTTACTGTAGACGAAATGCCACCCGACGCGCATAAAAGTCTCGAGCTACTGTAGTAAAGCGGCTGTTTCTGCATATTCCCTATCATCATCAGCGTTACAAAGTACAGGTCATATGTGTTATGATTTAGAAGATGTCAATGTACTATAATGCGAATACAACGTCCCTATTGCCATGAAAGCACAAGGTGATATAGGAGTGGACGTAATAGGGCGATAACCTCGGGGCGTGGATACGTTCGGCAAATGTGGCGACGCTGTCGGGCGCGACTCGAGGAAGGGTTGGGCCGAAAATGTAGGCCGAACCTGATGAGTCGAAGTGTTCGGGTGTACGCGGTAGCGGGCGACTCAGTAAGGAATGGAAATTCCCTACACTACCCCCCCCCCTCCTAAACGAGACCGTGGGCATCGGAGACATTCCGACGCTGGTAATATGCCGTTAGAATCGGATGTGATTCTAGATCAGCGAGGGGCACCCAACTGTCGTCTTCGGACGTGCGATCGCGCCAGCGGATGAGGAAACCAACCATCCGACGGTTCAGCTGCGTGGTGATGCGATGGCCGAGAATTTTCAAGGGCTCGGTCGTCGGTTCCTGCAAAGGCGTCAGTTGTGGTACACCACGGTTGTGTGCCAAGTCCGACGAACTCGGGACGTAGGGTCGGAGGAGACTGACGTGGAAAGCCGGGTGATGGCGCCAATCAGCCGGGAGCCGAAGGTGGACAGTGACAGGTGTCACGAGGTTGGTCACTTGGAAAGGTCCGCAGAATCTGGGTCGGAGTTTGCTTGGGATCGGCAGCCGCAAATTGCGAGTGTCGAGGAGGACAAGATCTCCCACTTTGTAAATGACGTCGCGTCGATGTCGATCGGCTTGTCGGCTTGCGACCAGGTTAGCTTTGCGAATGGCCTCAGCTGCTTTGTCGCGAGTGGCGAGAATGTCTTCAGCAAATTTTTGGGACCGGGGCACGGGTGACTCGATGTTCGGTGTAGAGGGTACTACCGGGTCCTGTCCGTAGTTGAGGAAAAATGGGGATTGATTGGTTGTGGCTGAGGTCGCGTTATTATACTCGAATTCTAGGAATGGAAGAGATTTCTCCCATGTCGATGGGTCAGTACAGGTGGTGCGGATGAGCTGCTCCATGGTTTGGTTAACGCGTTCGGTCTGCCCGTCGGTTTATGGGTGGTAGGCGGATGAAAATTGGATTTTGGTGCCGAATTGGTCCCACAGGTGGCGCCAGAAATTCGAGGTGAATTTTGGGTCTCGATCTGAAATGATGGCGGAGGGCAGTCCGTGCAGGCGGATGACGTCGTGATGAAGAGCTGCGCAGTTTGTTCGGCGGTGATTGTCTGTTGGCAGGCGATGAAGTGCGCCATTTTTGTGAGTCGGTCAACGACCACGAGGATGGCGTCGTTTCCGCTGGGGCCGGCCGGCAGTCCTGTCACGTAGTCCATCGTGACGTGTTGCCAGGGTCGCTCGGGTGGATCCAACGGCTGTAGTAGTCCGGCTGCTCGCTGATGCGACGATTTCATGATCTGGCAGGCAGTGCAGGAGGACACGTACTTGCGCACGTCATCGGCCATGTTCGGCCAGTAGTAATTCCGCTGCAACATCTTCGTGGTTTTATCGACGCCGAAGTGTCCTGAGGTAAGGTTGTCATGGGATTCCTGGATTAGGAGGGTACGAAGTAAATCGTAGCCTGGCACCCAAATGCGAGAAGTACCACGCTTATAAAAATATGGCCCGGTGGCTGTGGTATGCTGTTGATGGATGGCTGAGCGGAAAAAGGGATCGATCTTGTAGCCGTGGGTGAATAGTCCCGTAAGTAATGGGTTGGTCTGGGCGATTAGTATCGCGGCGGTATGGACAGTAGGGCGGGTCAAGGCATCGGCGATATTATTGGCACACCGTTTGTAGGTGATGGTGTAGTGGAAGTTGGACTCGAGGAAATCGAGCCATCGGATCTGTCGTGGATTGAGGTTCGGTTGGGCGCGCAGGTACTGTAAGGATTTGTGGTCCGTCCGCATCGTGACATCAGCTCCGATTAGGTAGCACCGCCAGGTCTTGAACGCGTGGACGATCGCCAGCATTTCCTTGTCGTGGAATGTATAGTTTTTTTCCGCGCCCTGCAGCTTCCGTGATTCGTAGGCGACTAGTTGTAACCCGTCGCCGAAGTCCTGGAGGAGAACTGCACCATGGCGATGTCGCTGGCGTCGGTGACGACTTCGTATGGACGGTTGGGATCGGAGATGCGAAGGACGGGCGACGACGTGAGGGCGATTTTGAGTTGATCGAATGTAGCTTGCTGCTTCTCACCCCACCAAAAACAATCGTGATCCTTCAATCGGTCGGTTAGCGGTGCAGATAACCCTGCCATATTAGGGATAAAGCGGCGGACGTAGTTGACAAAACCCAGAAAACTTTGGAGTTCCTTGAGGTTGGTCGGCGGCTTCCATTCCTGTATGGTCTTGATTTTCCTGGGGTCGATTTTCACGCCTTCGGTAGAGACGACGTGGCCCAAAAACTCCAACTCTTGCTTAAGAAAATCGCACTTAGACCCTTTCGTGATGAGTCGATTCTTGTGCAGCAGCGTGAAGACTGCATCAAGATCCTTTAAGTGCTGCTCCCTGCTGCGGCTGTAGATGAGGATGTCGTCGGGGTAGATAATTACGCATTTATCCAGGAGTTCGCGGAAAACACCGTTCATGGTCATCTGAAAAGTCGAGGGCGCGTTCGTGAGCCCAAAAGGCATCACCAAGTATTCGTAACTGCCGTAGCGGGTTCGGAAGGCGGTCTTGTGGCAATCCTCGGCGGCGACGCGAATTTGGTGGTAACCTCCGCGCAGATCGATTTTCGAGAAGAACTTGGCTCCGCGAAGTTGGTCGAGTAGATCGTCGGCTCGCAGGATCGGGTAACGGGACTTGATGGTGATACGGTTGAGTGCGCGGTAGTCGATGCACATACGGAATCCGCCATCTTTTTTCGGTGTGAACAGGATGGGGGTGGCGTATGGGGATGTGCTTGGGCGGATAAAACCTTTCGTCAGGAGGTAGTCCAACTCCTGCTGCAATTCCTCTAGTTCCGGTTGGCTGAGCCGAAATTGTCGCTGTACTGTCGGTTGTGCGCCTGGTTCCAGCTCGATGCGATGGTCTTCGGGTCGACTTGGCGGAAGTCCGGCGGGTAGGTCGTCCGGGAAAATCTCGGGGTATTTTCGAATGAGTTCCGCTAAATCCGGAGGAACGACTTCACACAGCTTCGTGATATCTTCCGCTGTTATCGGCGACGTCACCTCGCGAAGATCGACGGCGTATGCTACTGCTCCCGCTTTTATCGCGCGCTTGAAGGTGATCGCGTGGACTTGGTTACTTTGCATGCGGGGTCCCGCCCATTTCGGTAACTCGTGATAGTGCCCATCGATCTTGATGCTGCAGCTGCCCATCGTCCAGTCAATTCTTGGGTTGTATTGTTGCAGCCAATCCCGTCCCAGCAGCACGTCGCACCCGTCGAGTGTAGTCGCCAGCAGCCCCATCCAAAATTTTACGTGCTCGCCGCAGTGGAAACTGACGTGCTCCACCCGCTCCCGTATAGCCAGCGGTGTTCCATCCACCAGTCTTGCATCAATTTTGGGTAGGCACTTTAATAAGGGGATACCCATTTTCTTAGCCCTGTCTATCTGTATGAGACTGTGTCTCGCGCCTCCATCCACGAATATTTTCAGCAACACCCCGTTGACTTTGCCCTCCACCAACACAGGGTGATCAACAGTTTCGTCCCCCTTATTCGTCCGGGTCCGGTCGATTGCAGCAATCGGGATCACGACCCGGTGGGGACTGTGTGGTTCGGGCGGAGAAGCCTGCCCGTCAGTAAGGGGCCCGGTACTTACTGACGCGACCCATTTCCTGGTCGCTCCTCCGGCTTCTTCCCCATAGAATTCTGGATGGCTATGAACTCTTGGCAGTTGCGTTTGATGTGACCCGGTCGGCCACAGTGGTAGCATAGCCCCGTATTTCGCGGAGCAACTGCGTAAATGTCCACTGCGTCCATCCCTTTTATCGTGGTGCGCTGGTACTGTTCTCGAGGGCGACCTCCGTCGTAGAAGTTCGTCCTCGGCTTCGTGAGCGAATCAGTGGCTTCGGCGAGTTGGATGAAGTCTTGTAACCGTTTCGCAGGTCATTGTAATTTTATCTGGTACTGTATTTCAGGCTTCAGCCCGCCCATGTATCTGTCGACCTTCTCCAACTCGTGCATGTAGCCACATCGAT